GCGTGTTTTCGAGAGAACTCCACGGGGCAGCTCTAACCCTGTGAGTAAAGAGTGCATCTGCTCAGCTGCCCCTGCTGCAAGACAAAAGATTTGTAGCCAAAGCATCAGAAAGAAAAAGATTACATTTTCCATTTTAGATTCTTACATCTGAGCAGAGAATGAATCACGCCTTCAGCAAACAGTGATTTAGCCTTTGTGAATTACATTTAGAATTCATGAAGTCAGCCTGAGCACTCACTTATGCTACTACACAGTGCTTTTTTGCAGGGCTTGTTTGAGTCATATCCTTATCTTCCTGAATTTCTTAGAGAATAAAATTTAAATAAAGTTTGAAAACTACCCCAAAGATACAGCCTTACTAATTCTGGGTCTTATACTTAAAGAAAGAATAATAGTTGACACTGCTGCTGCTGTTCTTTCCCTGCCCTGAGAGTTTTACAAGACTGGGCCATTTTTTAAACTCTGAGATGACAGTAACTAATTTTGACAAAGGCATTTCCAAAGCAGCTCCAGCTGCAGTTCACCAAGCGACATGGAGCCATCCTTGCTTAACATCGAACCAAAACATTTCATGCATTCACCCTCTACATCAGAGCCAGTGAACCGAGCTGAACTCAAGCAGCTATTTCCTATGTCAGCTTTGTTTACCATTTCAGTTTGTTCACACCATTCATGCAGCACCCACTTATCGTTACATCGCTTGTTGTACTGACACAATGTGGGGGTATTTTACCTCTTGTCGGAAGGCCTTCCTAAATCCCATCATGAGTGTTGGGGCAAAGTCTTTACCAGGCACGCAGCTCACCACCACAGGCAATCCTCTAGGGCAGGTCCCATTGGACTTCTCCAGTACAGCCTGGCCCAGTTTACAGCTGGACAAGTGTGCTTCATTGCCAGTGCAGTTGACAGAGTAGTCCCAGTATGTGGGCTTTCTCCTGCGAGCAAACATCCTGCACAGATAAAGGAGATGAGAAGGATTTTCAACTAGGTATAACACGATGTTACTACTTCTGTCTTATTTGAGAGCATTGAGCTGCACTACTCAAGATTTTTATATAAACTACAGGTGCAATAACAATCTGTGATAAGGGAGGTGTTACAGTCACAAAGAATTAACAGCCATCTCCACAGTTCACTAAAGTTCCACTGTACATATTCGTGTCACTATCTGCTTATTAAAACATGACATATCTACATACTACTGCCAGGTGCAAGGCCATGACTGCCCACCGTATACATCCAACCACTGAAGAATCGTCAAGACAATTTCTGTAGGTGGTATGACCTGAAGTTGTAAAGTCTGAGGTGTACAAAGCAAACAGGAATGGAGACAGCACAGTTTGCTAGCTAGTCACTAATCAGAGATGGTTGAGGTATTTACGGACATTTCTTGTAGCTTCTCTCTCAGCAGCAGCAGCAGCAACTGAATCAGGTTAAATATAGTCTATGCAGCCTATGTGAAAGACCAGATTACAACAGGACAGACAGCGTTTATTTTTCATTTGCTGCTGGTGAGAAGGAAAGTCCAAAGGAGCAGCCCAAAGATGAGCTTTGCCTCTAAAGCAATTTGAACACATATGCGATGAATATCAGTGCTGCCTTAAAGGACTAACGATTTAATAAAGTAGCTGTCCTAAAGCTGTGAAAGTTTACTTTCATAAAATCTCATTAAGGGGTCATTGTCAAGTTAGGATTTTCAAGACTTAATTAACTTTAAGGTTAATGTCATCCTTCACTACAACTTTTCAACCCCAAATTAATTATTATGTTTGCAGTGAATAAACAAATGGGTTTTTTATGTCTCGTGATTTAATTACAATGATTAATAACTCAGCTTGTGCAAATAGCAGACTTCTGTGTTGTAAAACAGTTTTATAAAGTCAATATCTATATACAAAGTGGACACTGAACATGAACCAAACTAGGAGTAGCGCACAAAGTCAGACTATTGATTCATTTCATCCTGTTCTCTCTCTTAAGATTAGGATAAATGTTTAAAATGTTGCATGTTCTTATCTACTGCCCTAATATTAACCATGGGAGACCTAAGTTGTCATTGGTGACAACCCTGAAGACTAAACAATCTTCCTTAGTGTCATCTTTAGACATACTAAACAGTCAAGAGAAAGGTTTCTAGACATTAGTTCTTACAATGTCTTGATGAATCATCCAAGAAAGTTGATTATTTTCATCATTTATTCATTCATTTATTCACTCTATGAAGAAGTCAACAGGATGAGTGACTAAACAGTTCTACCACTGAAAACACACCATCAAGAATCAACTTTCTGGAATTTACTTACTTGGATGATTGAACATGCATCAAGACATTGTAAGATCTAATGTCTAGGAACTTTTCAAGAGATTAAGCATGCAGCCATTTGTTCTTTCAATTTCCATGTTCATTGTCAAATAATTTAGAATATTAGTTAACTTACAGATCTAGCAGTTACTCAATCATTTTTGTGTGCAACAACGCTATAGCCTCAAGTCAACTGCTGTCTCAAGTCCCTAGTGGGGGTACTCCCCTTATAGCTTTTTAATAAGGTGTGCATTTCATAATCGTTTGCTCTATAATACTAATGCCAAGCTGTTCTGCTAAGTCACAATAACCAGAAACCAACAATGTACTATTTACTATTTTAGTACTATGTACTATTTTAACTCAATAATATCCCAGGTCAAAACACTGAATATGAACTGTTTTATAAATTTATAACTTCACTTTTTATATTTCATGAAGACGCTATGGTGAAAATCTTAAGCCAATAGGACAAAAGACAAATTCAGGATTATGAAACTGTCACATTTATTTTATAATGTCAGCCTGTGAAAGTACACTGTGGCCAAAGCAGGCTGACACGTAGATGGAAAGTTAGGAAGCTGCTGCACTCTGCTTTGGTTACCTAAAGCAGAGGGGAGACTTCCAACCCAGCCAGACAGTAAATTTAAGGTTAACTTGAGTGCCTGAAGTTTTGTGGTACACCATGATTAACTTGTGGCCATTTGGTCTAATGTAAGCAAGATTTAGATTTCTCAGCAGTTCCTCACACACTGCAAAACGTTTCTGTAATGCACCTATACTGAAAATGCAGGAGTCAGGCAAGAGTTTTGCTGTAAAAGGCCTGTAATGTCAGGAATGTAATGGGACACACATTAGAGGATTAAAGATTATTCCATTGTTTATAATGCTTGGTCCTGGCACATTTTCTGGTAGTCTGCCTAAACTGCAATACTGAACATTAAGCTTTGATATATCTATTATAGGTGTGAAAACAGAATATTTAACAAGAACATGTCGTGCTTTTTTGAATTTCGTTTACTATATATAGTTTTTAAGGAAGGTGTTATGGAGAAATTTCACAAGATCTCAGCCTGTTCTGAACTCATTAACAATGCTGCAGTTCACATGTGTGAATTTTAACATTGCTAATGAGTTCGGAGCAGAGCAGAGAGTTCCCGGAAGCAGCTGTCCACATTTTAGCCTTTGCTGTTAAGGATGGGTTAGGGTTGTTTAGTGGGTTGTTGGACTGACCATTGGTATAGTTTGGATGATGGAAGTGCACAAGCAGTTGACATCCAGCCTCCTTTTGTGTTTGTAGCCTTTCAAGGTTTCCAAAAGCCAGCCAGTCACATAGTAGTATAGGCTGACTACTACATAGGCTGACTGTAGGGGGTGGTGTGTGGATTGAGGAAGGTTAGAGAGAGGAGAGCAGATATATATAATCTGAACAGCCAGATAACTGAATAAATAATTTCCTGGGTTTGTCTTTGGGCGTTTTGCTTTCTTTTTTAATAATTACTGGAAAATGTTAGGCGTTGTGATAGAGATGCACAATAAAGCTGCAAGGAGCAGAGGTAGTGATGGTAGATGAGTTAAAATACCTGGGGTCAACCATCCAAAGCAACCAGCAGAGTACAAGAAAGGTGAAGAAGACATTGCAGGTAGGGTGAAGTAGGTGGAGATGGGTGTCAGGGTTGATTTGTGACAGAAGGACAGCACTAAGACAGGAGTTCGAGCTGGACATGTCAAAAGTGAAGATGCTAAGATTTTCTTTGAGAGCACCAGGACCACCAGAGGGATAGCTCAGGTCAAAAAGTTTGGAGACAAAGTTAAAGAGAAAAGGCTGAGATGGTACATTAGCAGAGGAAGTATATTTAATGTATTGGACCAAGGATGTTGAATATGGAGATGTCAGGCAGGAGAAAAAAGGGAGTCAACACAGAAAATCCATGGATGTAGTGAGGGACGACATACAGAGGATGGTGTGACAAAGCAGGATGCTAAGGATAGAGTGACATGAAGGCAGATGATCTGTTGTGTTGACCCGTAAGAGGAGCAGCAGAAAGAAGAAGATAAAGATACACAATCCACAAAGATTTCAGTAAGAACCTGAAATTTATCAAGCCTCCACAGAACTCTAACCCAGTCAGTGTAATGAGCTGCCAGAGTAATGAAGTGATTGAGGTTAGTCACTCATGTTGGATTTGGTCAAACACTGTAATGATGATGTATTCATTTGAGTTTTTTCAGCCCCCCTTCCACGTTGCTGCAGTTTGAGACTTAGATGAATTTTGCAGCAGTGATCTGCACGTGCTGGTTGAGAAATCTACCAAATCTATATATATGTAATTATATATATTTTTCATCCATGTGAGGCACCGAGGGGAATTTGCTAAAGATGTAATTACCAATTTGTGGCACAGAAAAAAAGAGGGAAAAAAAATTAGGATTTGCCATCTGTCATCCAGTCTCCTGCAGATGCATTTTTTTTTCTGTACCCAACAAAACACCCACTGAGTCACAGCATTGAAACAGTAGCCACATTATTCTGACATACCTTTTAATATCCTGAATTTCTATATAAGTGCCCTTTACTCATTTAAAGTTGAAACTCTGCTCTGCTCTTTGAACCACCCAGGACCACACATACTCACTTGTAGACTCTGGGATTGTACTTCCTCTCCCCGGGGAAGCCAAACATGCCACAGATCACTCTGCTGTTAAACTGGGTCCAGTCTTTGTTACAGATCTGCTTCCATTTGCCACCATCTTTGACCTCCACGTAGCCTTCCATCACAGGGATCCGCTTACGGTAGGATGACAGAATGGCTCGAATCTGCACATCCTCTACATGAATGTCAAGATTCTGTAGACAATATATTGAGAAACAACATTTAAAAAGCAAACAAACAAACAAAAAATAAATAAATAAATAAAAGCACAAAAAAAGCAAAAAAAATCTTTTTTAAACAGCAACTTGCACTTTTCTTTATGCTAAAGTTTGGGCCTTGTGGGCATGTAACATATGTTGTTGATTTTTGAAGTGGAAAGATGCAACAGCCACAGTAAACACATATTCGAAAGCTTTTTCCCAAATGTATTGTAACTTTTCTGTCATGAAATTATCAGCACTCCCAGCAAAAGCTTACATTACTGACTAAACCACCATGCATAGACCCACAGAGACACATCTCTGTCCAAAAACTAACTTCCAGATCTCAGCGATATATAATGGTAGCCTATACACCGTGTAAGCTAATTCGTTAATTTAGCTTCCTGTTAGTAGGGGGGTTTGCAACCAAATAGAATTTGCTATGTAATCAAATCACATGGTAACGATTTCCCATGAGAGTGCAGTCTCTCTTTCAGAATGAAAATGAAGACGCTGCAGTGAGCATACAGCTTGCTGAATACAAATAAAGTTAGCCACAGGTTAGCTAAAGCTCACTGCTAACTAATGATCCGTTTGCCTGTCTTTACATAGTTCAGTTAAGCGCCAGCAATGTAAAGCTGGGTCTTTATTTTGCCATCAGAGTCATAATGTTATACAATCGCAATGAACATTCAGAATACTGGAAGAAGACCTTTTCAATATATCAGCAACCAGAATGAGATATGCAACACAGTCAATTCAATTTATTAAAAAGCACCAAATCACCACAACATTTGCCTCAAGTTTCATTTTGTCGTAGGTTAAAGACCCTTACAATAATAGTAAGAAAACCCCAACAATCAGACAACCATCTGTGGGAAGGAAAAACATCTTTTTAACAGGAAGAAGCAGAAGTCTAGCAAAACCAGGCCCAAGAAGAGGCAGCCATCTGCCGTGACCAGTTGGGGATACTTCAAACACTAGATCATAAACAATACTTGTGAACGATTACACTAATTTGCAGATTACAGTATCACAGGCAACTGAGGAACTGAGATACCAAACAGATTTCAGATGCTAACTTCTGCTCTAATTTTTCACAGTTCCTTAAATGCTGGTTCTTAATAATTTTGGTCAATGGAAATTACCCTGTCTAGTGGACACCAAGGTTTGAGACTGGAAAGTGACACAAACACAGCCTATGGGTTCACAAGCTAGTTTACTCCTAGTACTGGTCCCAAGCCCCCAAAAATGGAAAGCCTTTATCACGAAGGGCTTCCATTGTAAAATCTTTGCCAAATATGCTTCATCCATGTGCCACATGATCCATCTGCTGTGGCAACTTGACAGGAAATGAGAGAGAAGCCAGATGTATCATATAGAGGACCACAAGGTTGGTGAGTGTCACTACAAGGTTAGAATACTCAGAAAAATGTCATTGCACAGAAAAAAAAACCAACCAAAAAAGACTTCAATAGTGTAACCCAAGCTATATACCACATCTGTCTGGAAATAGCTATTCCTGTGTTACATTATGCATAATCAAAGACTCTTACCCCCTGTACAGCTGCTCAGCAGTGCTCTGTCTGCACTGGTTGTAAATCTTCCCCAGACTGCATAAACATTTTTACAGTGAATTATCTTATTAAGCCTAATCACCGTGGCCGACTGCCTTCTTACAGGTTTTTCTGGCTTCAGAAGCCAAAGGCATCAAAGGGTTTCTATGGCAAAATGTGCAGCATGTTTTAGTCTGTCCCAGTTAAATCCACAAACACCGTACTGTACACATGCAGTAGGAAGCAATTAACAAACTGCTACTTCTTTCCAGATGCCTCATGTCTACATGATCATCAGCCACAGGCCCTAGCAGTTTAGTTCAGGACTCGGGCAGTACCACACTAGCTTAGACAAAACATCATATGTCATTTAATGTTGGTTTCCTTAAGTATTTTATTTGAGGAGGCTTTTTCTGTCATGCATAAATAGAGGGCAGCATAGTCATGCACACGTAACTGTTGATATGAGATTGTTTTAAAGGCTATGACCCAGTCCAAAAGCAGTGCTGCTTTAGAGGAGCATAGTTTCTGAGACTAAAGAAGGCCAGTCTTGTCAGGTGCATGAGAAAAAGCAAGCTTCTTGTTTTCATTTGGTGAAAAGTACTTGAATTGCAGAGTAATGTCAACTGGAAATTAAATGTGTGCTTTAACTTTGGGTTTGGATCGTGCCATGGTTGGATCGCGTGCACGAATGTATCAGTGACCATAGGAAAGAATGTATGATTGAATGTGTGTACGTATGTTGGGGAATATGTATGTATCTTTAACATTTGGAAATATGCTTGTTATCCAAAATTGTGAATCTTTTTTGTTTGACTGTATGTTTTAAAAAGTAGCTCCATCTCTGCAGCTACTGGGCTTTTTAGAAGCTTTCAGTTTTCATTTTACAGCCTACTTTTACCTTCACTGTCATTATTTCTGCTCCCTACAGGGAAAGGCTGCTGTTTCCATCAAAAAAGCTCTTATTACTATACTCTACTTGCTTTTCACCAAATGGCCAACAGGCAGAGTTAGCAATTAGCTGGCAAACATAGTGTTTCTAGTTGCTAAGGACATATTTTTTTATCAGGAAAATAGAGTGAATATTGGTCCCTCAAACTGGTGTGGTGTATACACTCTGACTATACTCTGGTACACAACTAGGTTGTGTCTTGGGAGATGGTTGAAAAATCTCACATAGAATAAGGATGTAGTCAGGATGTAGGATAAAGTAACAAACCTCTCATAGATTTGTGGCACTAAATCTGTGGGCTAATGTTAATGTTCCCAAACATAGCTTTGCACACACAGATCTTTATTTCATTTTTTAATTATACTTCAAATATTCCACACTATAGCTTTTGTTTATGAGACAGGAACCTTTCCTTATATCTTATCTCAACAGTGCATTGTTCTACATTTGCCTTTATTCTCCTGACTATAACAAAAAGTTCTATCATGGAAATAAATAAGTTGTTCATTTTAGATGAGGATTTCAATTTATTACCTTAGGGATGACCATATAAAATTATAATCTTCACTATTCTATTTCAGCAGCAAAATATCTATGTCTGATACCTTTTTCCTATTCCACATCTCCACCAATGGCCAAAATTGAAGTAGATTTATCTGTCATGTCAAAGTCAGTCAACATAGAAACATTAGTTCCCCACATTTATTTATTTCAAAGACAGAACATCCTCCCAGGCAACAGCTGTGCCTTGATAAAACAGTGCCAAGGCTAGAGAGGTGACTTAAGGATAAACAGGGACTGAATGAGTACAGCCTGCATTTTTTTTGCTTTGTAAAACAGACAACAAACCATTTTGCACAGTAAAGATTTTACTGAAATCTGCAAAAGTGAATGCTGCATCATGAAAATGAAAATCAAAACAAATACAAAACAAAGGACCTTGTGATTTGGTACTATAAAATGAACCTGAATTAAATTATATTAGGTTAATACATTTATTTTACTAGAGACTAGAGCTAAAAGCATGAAAGAGAAAGTCAAATGTCATGATACACATTATTCCCGATTGGGATAATACAAAGAGAGCCCGGCTATGCTGAACTTGTTTCACCGTATACCCTCGTGGACAGTTGTGCTGACAGAGACAAGCAACATTCATAGAAGGTGAAGATGTGGAAATTATTTTGGTTCAAATGGAACACCATACTGTTTACATTTGCGACTGCACCTGAAGAAACTTCCAAAGTTTCCATGACCAATTTAATTGCTTTCCACCATCGTTTGTAACTTCAACAGATCTGTGAAGAATGATTGATTTGTATGCATTCAAGGATCCCCTGAACGTCTAAGCAGAATGCACAGTGCCCTGAAACCCCGCAGGCAGTGAAAGACTGTCAAAAATCATCTCTTCTTTTTTTTTAGAGATTAAATAAACATCTTACTATCCCATAAACCAAACCAACATTCTTGTGCTACGTGACAGTTTGAGCTAAGGGGAGGGAGTTCAGTCTGGCTGGAAGGAGAGCATGTTGCTTAACTCAACAGACTCCTCTTATACATGGCCAAGAATAACCTAGACATCAAATAATGATAAAGGACGGTTTCCTCAATTAGTACTTGCCTCCAAGGAAGGGCAGATGCCGCCAGAGTGAAAGCTACAAATCACTGTTCTGCCTATACTCCATTTACTCCTAAAGATAACCACATTAATCACTCTGGTCCGAGGCACTAATGTCTCAGCTTCAGAGGACATAAAACTGCATAAAGCCTGAAAGCATGAAACAAGATAATGACTGGAAATGTGGCAATGGTGACCTTGTCTGGGTGTAGTGGATACACAGTACATGACTGGTTTGTGGTTATGCAAAAAAACAAATTGGGATTCATATGAGCGAGTAAACAGAGGCTAAACTAAACTTTTAGCCAGACAAGACACAGAGGGACTGAGAAAGATCACTATGAACACAAGACACGATTTTTAACATGTGTGTCTTGTTTTGTTCCTCTCAGGGGAAAAAGACCTTTCATGACGTTTTGCTTGTGCAAGAGAAAAAGCACACAGATGGAACTGTCATTAGTTGGATAAGCTGTACAGGAAACATGATTCACAGAGGCTACTTTGAGGTTTTCCACTGCATTTTTTTGTATGTATTACTATAACATTTCTTGGCTAAAAATGCTAATAATGTTGCTATACTCTGGGCTTGTAATCTTAAGAAGGAAGTAATTTTTCTTACCATTTGCTATTCCCCTAGCAGCTTTCATGTGACATAGCAAAGGAATGATACAGGCAACAAGGGTTTGGTGGAAATTTTGAGTCTTATAATAAGGCACTGACATCACATTAAAGCGATTCTGTCAAAAACAATGAAATTTTACATTTTGAATCAGTTGAGTTGGTGAATGCAAATTTATTCTTACAATTACCCCTCACATTCAACTCTGTAAAATACATTGCCCAATGCCTAATATTACGCTAGCGCAGG